TACATGCACAAGTATTAGGTAAACAACATTCAGCTGGTGGAACTGAATCTGCAGCTGTTGTTACATTTGTTAAATTATGTAAAGCAGCTACATACATTAATAATAAAGATTCAAATAATGTTTTGTTTGTTATGGTACAATCAGTTATTGGTGATTTAAAACAAATATTATTTAATCCATCGAAACCATTTTCACGTGGTCAAGATAAAATTAATTTTGATTTAGAATTAATGATTGAGTTTTTTCTGGCTTGTCTCAGATTAAATCCACATAATAATGAAGTTCTAAAAGTTTGCTTAAATTTATCATCACCAGCAATGTTTCATTATGTATTGGTGAAAGCACTCTATAGAATCATAACACAAAAACGTTTAGCTTGGTGGCCACAAATTGATATTGTTTATTCACGTGCTGGAGAATTACGAAATATGTTTACAGATACATTAAATAAAGTTTCACAATCATCAACATTTTCAACAACACCACTAAGAATCTCAGGTATCACAGGTGTTAGTACATTGAAAGATATTTTATTTAATCCACAACAATTACGTTCACAATATTCACAAGCATTTAAATCAAAAACATCCGATCGATTAGCTTATGACGAAGGGCCAAATAATCGTGAATTACTTTTGTGGATTGTACGTTTAATTATAGTTGATCCATATTTAATGTTACATAATCCAAATAAACTCGATCACGAGACTCAGATGTCAACATTTGAATTAATAAATGGTCTTGTGTCTCTTGTGCATGATACGTCAATGATGCCTGATGTTGCTCATACAGCTATGGAATCTTTATTAGTTTTACATGAAACACGAAATATTGAATTGTGGAATCCAGAAGCATCAATAAATACATTTTGGTCAATATCAAGTCAAGTACTTTTTTCTATATCACAAAAATTAGTTTTGCATCAAATCTATGAGTATACATCTGTACTACGGTGGTTACGAGAAATTCTTATTTTACGTAATGCATTTCTTTTACATCACAAGGATAATGCTTATCTTGGTTCAAATATTCCAATGGCTAAACATGCACATACAAAACTTGAAATTGTCTTTTTTATTTATCTATGGTCAATTGATCCTGAAGCTGTTAAAATTGCGATGTCATGTTTTGCCTTATTCGCCTATGAAGCTGATATTCGTTTTGGTTTTGATGAAGCAGCTGTATTAACAATTCTACCGAATTATAATATTTATATGGAATTATCAACGGCATCAACTACATTAGTTACAACTGGAAGAAATGCTTTACAGAAAAAAATTCTTTCATTATTAAGACGAATCGAATATGCAACACCAGGAAATAAACAAGCTTGGTACGATACATTTGTTAGTCAACAGCATTTGGCTAAGTTTTTGGCAGTTTATCCGAAGAGAGTTGATGATTTGGGTAGTGCAGGATCAACAGCTAGTTCACCATCAGTTAGTGCAAGTGAAACAAGTGGTTTTGTTGGTGGTGGTTATGCAAAATTTGGTAAAAGACGTGCTGGAGTTCATTCAAGTGAACATGATATTGAGGTTTGATATTTGAAAATTTAAAATAAAAAATAATGCATTCTATGCGTTGGTTTTAGGATGTTTTTCATGAATGGGCAAATATGACTGGATTTTTATGTGCACTTGGAAGTGTTTGGTTACCAATTAAAAATCGACCCGGGTAAGTTCCATCGTCATTATTTAACCTCTTTGAAAACGTACATTCCATCAAGAAAGTTAAAATAGTTAGAGATAAAAATAATAGATCAACGAGGTTTATTCATCAATATTGAAATGTTGAATAAATAAATTAAAAAAACAGGATATATCACAAATATAATTAGTTCATGTCAAGCGACGTCATTCTTCAAGCAATATTTAAGAAAATAATTTTACTTTTCCTCAATTTTCAGCTGATATAGCAATAAAAGACAAGGAAATGTTGTGAACTTAAGATCAGCTTAGAAATCTGTATAAGATCGTTACTAGAACTTTAAGAAAAAACAAAGGATATTTGAGTACCATTCAGATAAAAAGAAAAATACATACTGTAAGTCATTCTTATTTTCAATTTAAATCGTATAAAGATGATAGGACACTTTAGATGACAAAACAAAATTGACTCTGTGTACAAATGATACGCACTTGTAGAAAAACAGCAAAATTTTCTTTTCTCTTGTTTTGATTCTCGAAAAAAAAAAGATTTTTAGACTTGCTATATTGTAACACAAAATACTGGTGATGAATCGGTATTCGTACAAAAAACATACATTTCTGTTCTGAATTTACTTATTTTGTTGAAAATATCAGCAATAGACAAAAAATCGATCGGTGAGATAAATGTTCATTTCTCAAACGGAAAAATGCCGTTCAGGTCAAAAATAAATTATTTTCCCGTTGTGTCTATAACAGAAGACAAACTATGTAAGTACAAGTCAGCGTGTGTACACTAAATTTATATCGAGTACTTTTGTCGTCACTGTTCAGAAAAAATATCCGTGCATATACAACATATTCCATGCTATGCACAACTTTACAAACACCAAATATGAGTAGTTTTCATTTTCATTTTCATCCTTCACATTCCTTCTTTCCCAACGATTCATTGAAATCAAACTTCTTACCAGCTCTTTGACATTCATCACGCATCACCACAAAACTATCAAAGCTTTCGCTTATACCGTAAACGAATTTCGGCATCCCATCTTCATGCAAATTGACCGATCATTGTTTTAACCAAAGTTAACCATAATCTAACCGACTGTAAATTTTCCCAACATCCTTAGTATCGTGCAAACTCATTTTTCTGCTAGCAAATAGACATGTATCCTCACTTTCAATCGCAAACTAAACCATTTTTCTCTATAGGAAAAAGAATGTTTCATGCATCTAAACTGTTTTTCCCATTGGGTTTTTCATTTTTCCGTTGCAAATTCATTTTTACAGTAGTGTGACGTTATTGGGGGAACGGGATATTTTCGTTACTGTTTGTTTGTTTGGTGCGTGTATCGTAAGTTTAGTTTTTAAGCATTTTTGACCTGAACGTCATTTTCTCGCTTGAAACTAGCATTTATGTCACCGATCAAATATTTGTCTAATCCTCACTAAAAATGTTTAGATTTTAACAAAAAAACTATATCGCATATAAATAGTTCTACGGTTTATTGATAATTTTTGCTTTTCTTTAGCCAACATGGAATACCGGCGGATACTCGACGAACATCAATGGAACCAGTTAGCTCAGATCTACACTATTGTCCTGTAACACAGTAAGATTGCATTATACATACATACTTATATATTAACTACTAAATTGTATTTAATAAAAGATTTGTTGGGGATTGTCTAAAATATTTGGTTTGTCAAAACGAAAAATTTGGTGTTCAAATTCAACGTCACATTCAAGATTTACTTGGTCATGAACTTAATCCATTATGTTATCCAATATTATTTGATCAAATAAAAATTCAAGTTGATAAATTTTTTGATGCTAATGGTCAAGTTATTTGTTCAGAACAAAATACTCAGTTTATCGATAACGTTATTGTTATAATGCGTTCTGTATTTGAAATGAAAGCTCAGCAAGCAGCTCAAAATTCATTAGAAGGACCAACAACAACAACTGGCTCATCTAATACTTTAGTTGTACCAGGCAATAATACAGGTTCGTCGGCATCTGTTGTTGGTGGATCATCTAGTGATCCAAATTCAAGTTCAGCAGCTGGAAGTGGACGTGGTGGACCTCAACAAGTCAACGAAAATCCATTAGCTAATGTTATTATTTTGGAACAACTTGTCTTGAATATCGTTCGTTATGCACGACATTTGGATACAAGTGTTGGTGCTGTTACTATTCGAATACGTGTTTGTCAACTCGTCGAATCGATGATGAAGAGACGTGATGATTTATCATTTAGACAAGAAATTAAATTTCGAAATAAACTTGTTGAATATCTAACTGATTGGATTATGGGAAATTCACATCAATTTAATCAGGTATAAATTTTTATTATTAACAAGAAAAGCAAAATTTCAGATTTTTATTTAATTAGGTTCATGCATTAGGTCAATCAGCAGCTGGTGTTGGTGTTGGCAGTGGTGTCAATGTAACAACATCTCAATTAGTTGTTGATCAATATCAACATTTAACACGTGAATTAGATCAAGCATCAATGGAAGCTGTTGCTTCATTGCTTCATTCACTTCCATTACAACCAGAGGAAAGTGATCGAGGTGATTTAATGGAAGCAAAATCTCAATTGTTTCTTAAATATTTTACTTTATTTATGAATTTATTAAATGATTGTGGTGATGATCTTAACGATGATCAAAGTTCATTATCTGAGCATCATCAAGCCAATAATGAAAGAGGAACATCAAATCTTATAAGTCAAACGCAACAACAACAACAACAACAACAGCAACAACAGTCACAATTAATTAATCAGTTACAACAAAAGCAACAATCATTGAGAAATTCAACAATTGTTGCTATGTCAAATTTACTTGCAGCAAACATTGAAAGTGGTCTTATGCGAAGTATTGGTAGGTTAATAGTTTAAAATCTTTTTGCGTTTTCTGTTCATCATGAAAACGGCTTTGTTTAGCTTTGGGTTATCATCGTGATCCTCAAACTCGAGCAGCTTTTATGGAAGTATTAACACAAATTCTTCAACAAGGAACTGAATTTGATACATTAGCTGAAACTGTACTTGCTGATCGATTTGAACGACTTGTTGAACTTGTAACAATGATTGGAGATAAAGGAGAGTTACCAATAGCTATGGCATTGGCCAATGTCGTTTCTCCTCAATATATGGTTAGTATCGTCAATTATTTCATTTTTTTTTATGTATAGTCGGATATATATATATATATATACATTCCCAACACAATCCATTACGAAACATTCGATTTATTTGTAAAATAATATCATCGCTCATTCCGTACCCATTTATGAGAAGAGAAATGCTCTATAATTAATTTCTTAGATCAATGATAGTTTTTCTCTGCCGTTGTTAATTTTTTTCATGCAAAAAATTATTCTTTAAATATTTGCATAATCAATGTTAATTCTCTCACTTAATCATTTCAGGATGAATTAGCTCGCGTGTTTGTAACAATATTTGATGCAAAACATTTACTTCATCAATTATTATTAAATATGTTTGCAAAAGAAGTTGAAATGGCTGATTGTTATCAAACGATCTTACGTGGAAATGGTTTACCAACAAAAATTATGTCATTCTGTTTCAAACTTTATGGTTCACATTATTTATATAACTTATTTGCGCCAATCTTAGCAAAAATGTTCATAGCTGATTTACGTTCATATGAAGTTGACCCATCACGTATTGAACAACATGAACAATTGGATGAAAACAGAAAAAATTTACGTTTATTAACACATGATGTTTTTCAAGCAATTGGTGAATCAGCTTCACAATTTCCATTGCAATTAAGAATTTTATGTTCATGTCTATATCAAGTTGTTCAACAACGATTTCCACAACATCCATTACAAGTAGAAAATATTTTATTTATTTTAGAAAGAATTGATTTTGTCTAACCTTATAGGCTGTATCAACTGTTATATTTCTTCGTTTTCTAAATCCAGCTCTTGTTCTTCCGCATGAGTTTGGTATCGTCGATGCTGAACCATTACCGCGTATAAAACGTGGTCTAACACTTGTATCGAAAATTCTACAAAATATAGCAAATAATCTAATATTTACAAAAGAATTTCATATGCGTTGTTTCAATGATTATCTTCGTTCGACATTTGATGCAGCAACAAATTTTGTTTTATCAATAAGTGAACCAATTAATTTAACAGCAATAATTCCATCGGATGAACATCAACCGATCGAAAATCATGTATTAGATTCAGCAGCACTTTCACCAACATATCCAATGTCTTATATAAGTGATGCCAATGTTTTAGCATTACATCGACTTCTTTGGTATCATCAAGAAAAAATTGGAGATTACTTATCAAGTGGAAGAGATCATAAAGCGATTGGACGACGACCTTTTGATAAAATGGCAACACTATTGGCTTATTTAGGACCACCTGATCATAGACCGTTGGATTCACAATGGATCTCATATGATATGACAGCCACTAAATTCGAAGAACTTATGGCCAAAACACAAATGCATGAAAGAGAAGAATTCAAATCATTAAAAGCTCTCAATATATTCTATCAAGTTAGTTCGTTTAAAATTTCTTAACAATATTGTAAAGAATTAAAAATTACAGAAATAAATCTATCATAGTCGTCCATATTATCAAACTATTCATAATCTAAAATCTAAAATAACTGGTATTCTTTCTGTTGAGTCGAATATTTATGAGAAAAAAGGTATGAACAATCAAATAGTCTCGATGATAATAACTAAATATTTCGAATTGATAACTCGTGTAAAAATAAAAATGATTCCAAAGTTCTATGCAAATGAAAATATTTTCTCAACAAGGAAATTAGCAATTTGATTAATCGATTGTTAATTGAGCATATATGCATTAGATAGATCGACTTTATATAGGAATATTTTGAAAAATATTTGTCTTTTTCTTTTGTTTCATGCTGTTCATAGAGATATTTCAGTGGTAAATCAACGAAACCTACCTTAAGAAGATACATTTTGTTTTTGAGAATGTCAAAAGTAAATCAGCATATACCTAATCGCTAGATAAACATTAAACTTAAAGATATACTCACATTCAAAGATATAAATTGTTTTACTTTGTCACATGTCTTTGCTTTCGAATAATATTATGCGTAATCAACTTCTACAATAAATTTAATAATTAATGAAATAACAATATTATTTTTCTTGACAATTTTTATTTTAGGCTGGCTTTAGTAAACAAAATAATCCCGTATTTTATTACATAGCTCGTCGTTTTAAAGTCAATGAAATGAATTGTGATCTATTAATCTATCATGTATTATTAACATTAAAACCATTTCAAGCAAAACCATTTGAATTAGTTGTTGATTTTACTCACACATGTACTGATAACCGTTTTAAAACTGATTATTTATCAAAATGGTTTATCTGTATGCCTGATTGTTTCTATTATAATCTTCAAGCATGTTATATCTATAATTGTAATTCATGGGTACGTGAATATACAAAATATCATGATAGAATTTTATCAACAATCAAAGGTTCACGAAAATTAATATTTCTTGACCATATATCACGTTTAAATGACTTTATCGAATTTGATCAACAAAAATTACCGGGACATACATTATCACTCGAGGAAGATCTTAAAGTATTTAATAATGCATTAAAATTATCTCACAAAGATACAAAAGTAGCAATTAAAGTTGGTCCACAAGCAATACAAGTAACATCAAGTGAAAAGACAAAAGTTCTCGGTCAAAGTGTTTTGTTGAATGATGTTTATTATGCATCAGAAATTGAAGAAGTTTGTCTTGTTGATGATAATCAATTTACATTAACCATCGCTAATGAAACTGGACCTTTATCATTTATTCATAATGATTGTGACAATATTGTTCAGGCTATTATTCACATTCGAACAAGATGGGTAAGATTTCTTTTTTATTTTGAAAATCAAATATTTACTTAATTATTTTTGTTTTGAAGGAACTTGCTCAACCTGATTCAATACAAATTCATAATAAAATTCGTCCCAAAGATGTTCCAGGAACATTGTTGAATATTGCATTATTAAATTTAGGTTCACTTGATCCATCATTACGTTCTGCAGCTTATAATCTTTTGTGTGCATTAACACAAACATTTGATTTACGTATTGAAGGACAATTACTTGAATCAT